ATATATAAAATTTGAAATACATTTTATATATATTAAGTGGTGTTATGCATCAATATTTTGTCTGATTTTTTTTCCCTTTTCATTTTAAAAATTTCTATTACCGGTATATACAACAGAGAAGAGTCAAAGCAAAACCAGTGAAGTAATGAACAAACAAGTGTAGAAAAAAATAACTAAATAGACAAAAGGGGCTCCTCCCCAACTCGATACTCCCTCACACTCCCACGCTGTGGCACGAGGGTGGAGGGGGGTGACTGGGCTCGTTTAGATGAGGTGGCACCGACCCGTCCAGCTGTACAGCGCAGTGAAACATAACTTGTTTTTTTTTTACACGTAGTCGTGATGAAGGCACAGGGATCTTCTACAAGTTATTTTCTTTTATTCAATAAAGTTGTACAAAATAATACATTTTACAGTCTGTACAAGAATAATAGACCAGCAGAAAATAAAAAGACAGATGTACTTAAAGCCGAGGGAACAAGACGAAAGGAGAGATGAAGGGAGCTGACGGGAGTGTGTGTGCTCCCAGTTAAACGCGTTGCATCACATCGCTGGAAGTCTTTAAGCTCATGCTCTTCATGTGTGGATGTTTCCTTATTAAATAAAAACTCTCCTTTATTTTCCATATAAAGAAGAATTGTCAAATAGCAGCAGGGGCAAAGGGGGACAAGGATGTATAGTTTGTGTATGTGGGTGGGTGGGTGGGGAGGGGTGTTAATGATGCACAAATGCAGATCTCACACACATAGTGTACATAAACACACAACACAGGGTAAAAACTAACAAAAACCTAAAAGTTGAATTGTGTTATTACAGGAATATATAATATTTATATATATTTATATATATATATACATATTTATATACACACATATATAAATATCTATATATATAGGTTTGATTTTTTTGCACTGCATGAAATTCACTGGTATGCACTGTATGATATTTTTTCATCTGATTTCATGAGGAGCAGTTCATGCGGGCTGTGTGGCTTCCTTTCAGAGTCACGCTCACGTTCACAGACCGATCATCGCTCAGTCAAAAAAACAAAAATAAAAAAAGAAGAAGCAGCTAATGGCCCTCTTCTGGTTTAGCTCGCCACAGTCTCCATAGTCGTCCGCTTCTCTTCAGCACGCCGTGCATGAACTCCTCTCTCAGAGATTCTGCCAGCGCTCAGAGCAGCAGCACTAAGTTGTTAAATGATTATGTGTTTATAATCAAATCTGTCCAAAGATCTGAAGGTCTTCTTCTGTAGTGTGCGTGTACCTGTGAGGTTTTTTTGTTTGTATGAGAGCGAGCTAAGATCACGGTGCCAGTCCCTGTTTCTTGGCTCAAAGTGCCAGTTCAGACAGTTTCTGATGACGTCGTGTTTCCATTTTTGATAAAAGAACAAAAGTCGACTTCTGATTTTATTTCTATGAAGCAGGAGAAGTTGTTTTAGGGTGGAGGGGAGGGGGCAGTTGCTCACTCGCTTGGTTGTTAGGTGAATTTTGTAAAAGGGTAGGGGTGGTTAGCAAACTGGTGGTGGTGGTGAGGGCGTAAGTAGGTGAACAGGTAGAAGTGACGCCGCCGCGCATCACAAGAGCTCATACTGCCGTAGGTGCATCCTCTGTATGATGTCACGACAGTCATTGAAGACGCGGCGGATGTTTTCTGTGTCGACTGCGCAGGTGAAGTGTGGGTAACAGTAATGCCGTCCGTCCCCGCTGGCCGTGCTGATCCTCTGGAGAACAGAAACAAGTCAGAGTCGACACCGTTAACTCGTCAGACTACACAGATCAGTGTTCCACACGTTTCAGTCGGTTCTGTGTTTGTACAAGGAGCACACGCTAAAACTTCCTGCCACTTCTGTAACTAACTCTCAAATTCAACATGAAGATACAACCTCAGGCTCCTGCTTACATTTTCAGATATTTTAATCTTGACTTTTAGGAAACTATTTATTAATTGGTGACTGATTCAGCTGGTGGCATATTCACCATTTGCAGTTAGGTCAAGCAGGTCCACAAAAATCACCAAGCACAGTTTAATAAATATTAAGTGAAGGATGTCAGTGAGTCTATACAAAATCTGAGAGTCTACAATTCTTCCTGTATTTTTAAATAGTGAAATAGGGCAGTGGTATTCAAACTGTGACTGCCTTCATAGCTATAATGTTGAAACATTTATAAACTACTCATTTCTGCCTATTGTTGCAGGCTCATTTGTTGAAAACAGGAAGTAGATGTCACTTGTTTTTTATGTAAAATGTAAAAGCAAAAACACTGCAATTAATACTGTTTTTAAAATACATTTTTATATTTTAAGAAATATTAAAAAAAAAAAAGAAAGAAAGAAAAGGACTAAGAACAATTGCACTTGGTGTAAATGAGTGAAAATCCAGTCATTCCATTCACAATTAATTGTATTTTTTTTTTTTACAAACTTTGTTCACCAAACCTGAAACTATTAAGTTGCAATCAAAAAATAAAAAAGAGGGCCCTGTAACCTGATGTCATTAAAGAGAAAATGCATTATGGTTTTTAAATGGTCTCATTGTGAGCACTCAGTTAACTTAAAACAGAGTTTTTCTTTTATTAGATTTAAAGGTTTAGGTTAAGCATGTTTATCAGTTCCTGGTACGCTTCTCAGGAGAACTGAAAACTAAAAGTATACAAGTATAAAGAAAAAATAAATAAATTTAAAAGAAAAGTGACCAATTTCAAACGGGTAAAACAAGCTTTATCCGTTTGAATTTGTGCTTTGTACACACCAGAAACTCATCCCGTATGAAGTACTTTGCCCTGGTAACCCGGGGATCTTCCCCTGGCTCTGGTATTGCTGTAAAACCAAAAAAACAAATAAATAAATATCTGGTCAACTTTTCACAAACGAACAGAACACAGCATACATGTTCAGTTGGCTTTGTCAGCGAGAAATACATTAAACTTTTTTTTTTTACATGGGAACATTTAGATGTTGTTTGTGCCTCTCATGTGTTATTGTTGTCCGTACTTTATATGTTCTGTCTGGAGCAGGTCCCTCTTGTAAATGAGTCCTTGTGTCTCAATGAGACTAGTCTGTATAAAGGTTGAATGAATGAATGTGTGGGATGCTCTAATATCCAACACACACATACAATAGCTTTACCTTCCTATATAGGAATAGAAATATGTAATTTGTTGATCTATGCATGCATTGACATTTTAAAAATGTACCATAAGCTGTAACCATAAAATCAGACATGACCAGACTGCAAAGATTAGCAGTGACTTAAGTCATTGTTTTGGATAAAAGGCAACAGGACTTTTCATCTCATTTAAAATACTTTTTTAATGAAAAAGGTTTTTAAACGAGAGACTAAACTAACTCAAAAGTAGATCGTCCAGTTGCCTTCTTTTCCAGAACTCGGCATCAGGTTGACATCCTCTTTGCAGCTGGGCAGCTTACCATCATCAGGTGTGGTGTAGCGTGCAAACTCTGGGAAATACTCCTCGATTTTGGACTTTCCTGCCAAAACCTTCTCAGCGAGCAGGTCCTGTTTGTTCAGGAAGAGGATTACTGAAATGGTCCGTAACCACCTGTGGGAGGAAATTTACAGAATCACTGCTAAACATCTTAACTAAAGATTTAAGTTACATTTCAAAACATGTAACAAGGATGAAGGTCCTTCAGTCTTTAGTAGAATCATGTTGATGTAGAAAAAGGAGATGCTTTCTGGTCATGGAGGTGTTTTTCACCCTGCTGTCTTCAGATAGTCAACATGAATATATGTCTTATTTTTGTTTTGTTTTCCTTGACTGGACAAATAATTCAGTTACTTGTGCTGTTAGCAGAGACAGGACTACCTCTTGAATTTCATGTATTGCTTTTTCGTGTTGGAGGACCTAACCCACTTTGCTCGTGCAACACAGCAAGGTACAACACGTTCATTTAACAATGCACGATACTAAGTTTTGGTGCGTTAAACAGTGGAAGTCAGCGACACAGAGATGAGAAGAGCTCTGATTGATTACAAGCTGTTTTCACAAACCAGGGAGAAAAAAAAATCAGAGGAGCTAAATAACTGTTTATAAGAACAGCGCAGGATGACTTGTGTGGTTCATCACTGCTATATGTCAGTGTCATCTCAGATCACTTCATATAAAGTTAGTCGCTGTCGTTGTTATATTTCACACTAGCTTAGATTTTCAAGTTATAAAGCTGCTTGGGCTATAGACCTAGTCTTTTATCTACATGAGATTGCCGCCCAATGTGGGCGATGTCAAATTTCCCTTAATGGCTTCAACATTCGACACATTTACTTATAATGTTCACAATTTCAAAATAGACAATATGTGCGTGTTACCACGTCACTACTCTTCACCAGTAACACTCAACATTTGTTACAAAAGATAAAATCTCATCTTGCCAGGTAATCACAGCTGTAATCTCCTTGGGGTGGGTCTCTAATCTAGCTAGATGTAAAATGGTCATCTAGATAGATTATAGACTTTAGCTGGCTTCTTCCACCTGATTGAGAAAGGCTGAGTTTGCAGACAAGCAGTTCACCATAAAAAACAACACATCTTAAATCTATGGTTAAAGAAGATTTGATTCATTACAAAACGTCCCCTGGTTGAAGTCAACTGTTTATAGAAAACATAGACTTTAGAGACAACAAAGTCCATGCTCAATAATCCAGGTATACAATCCAACATTTTTCAGTCAGGTCATCTGGACAGTTTCTTTTTTTTTTTTGTGCTGAAACGTTTCGCCTTCGATCCGGAAGGCTTCATCAGTCAAGGAAACACACAACACAAAACTGATTCTTCCTCCAACAGCTTACTCCAAAGTGGAACAAACCAGTTGTGTGTTTCCTTGACTGATGAAGCCTTCCGGATCGAAGGCGAAACGTTTCAGCACAAAAAAATAAACTGTCCAGATGACCTGACTGAAAAATGTTGGATAGAGATTTTAGAGATTAAAAAATGGCAAACAAGCTCATGAGGAGAGTTTAACGAAGGAATTGTACCCTTGTCAAATCAAACAGCAATATATTCTTAAGGATTTTAGAATGGATATAAATTCTAAAATTAGCACAAAATATATCTCTTTTCCTCTTCCTCCAAAAGTTAAGAAAGTCCATTGTAAAATGTAAACAACATCTACCCAACTAATGCTTTTATCAGAACTAGATTTAAGTTTGATACTGATGGATGCACATTCTGTGATGATGAAGAGGAGGATTTAGATAATCTTTTCTTCCAATGACTTTTGGAGCAGTATGTGAGGTTGGCTTCAGGCTCAGGGAATTGAACTGCCAGCTCAGACTTTAACAATAATAAAACTTGGCATTTATTTTCAAAACTCTAAAATAGAATTTTTAATTAATAACCTAAAGTTACTAGGAAAGTTTTTTGTTGATAAATGTAGAATTTTTTTTTTAAGGTGAATCCAAACTTATGTCATTGGGAAAATTACCTGACATGTTTTTTTTTGTGTGTCCCTTAATTTGGTTCAAAGTAAATCTGCTCAACAACTTTATACTTGGATTAATAACTTTGATTTGATGTAACCCTCTACATTTGTTCCTCGTTACATAATTTTTTGTATTTTTATATTTTTGGATTGTATACAACTCAACCTGTAAAATTTAATTGTTAATTTGTATTAGCTTTGTTTGCCTTGGTTTGTTTGTAAATTGTTGTTCTTAAAATAACTAAATAAATAAAAAAATTCACCATAAAACATGTATAAAATGTTTAACAATCAGTCAAAATTTGAATTATATTTGCTCTATGGTATCTGATCCAGATACTCCAGTGATAACTTTCAGTGTTGGATTGTAAAGCAGCCCGTCTTCATAAGGTAACTGCAGTGGATAATTGCTCTGCATGTAGTTGCAAATGCTCATCCTTCGATAGGGCAATACATATTTTGTGAAGACAGCTTTAAAAAGACCCTGTAGACCACGTTGTATATAGATAAACAGTTCTTAGGACGCGATTGTAAAATAAAAAAAAGTTTATATTAAAAGATAATTTCCCAACGTCATATAAGCAAACAAACACGTCTAGTGATGTAAGAGAAAATAAGCCCAAGTTTTGCTGACCTGTTGTTCCAAATGTTCTTGAAAAGATTGAGCGCTTCCTGTAGTCTGTTAGTCTGATTGTCTTCTCTGATCACCATGTTGTAGCTGCTGCTCGCCACCACAAAGATGATAGCCGTCACATCTGGAACAAACACCAGGAAAATAAATTACAAAATGTTCAAAAACCTTTTCCTGTTCTTCGCACCGTTTTCAAATAGACCTATAGACCTGCACTGAATAACGCCAGATTCTGGTTGATGCACACAACATTAAACTGTATTATTATAATTACTAATTTACTACAAAGTCCACAAATAATTAATAAACTATAGATCATAAAATATGTATTTTCCTTTCATTATAACAGTGAACAACATCCAACCGTTAAAACACTGGATCCATTTTCGGCGTTCATCCCTCTGACCTCCAACATCGAACATACTGTGAGAAACAGGAAGTAAAAAGTTTGATTTACAAAAGGAAAGCAGAATAACACAATAAAAACAAGCAAATAAAAGGGATTGATCTTTCACTGTTTGAAACAATCTGTGCATAATGTTCTGCTTATTGTCAAGTTTGGATTTTTCTGTTATGACCGCTACTTAAATGACAAAACACTTTGATAAAATAAGTTTGTAACTCACTGGAAATTAACTTTGTCAATCTGAAAACTGGTCTCAAAGATCCCAGATGTCAGCACTCTGCATCTCAACAGGTCCTGAAACAGAGAAGTGGAAATGAATGTGCAGCAAACATAAAAACAAAAGTTAAAAAACAAAACGCAAACGTTCTTTTTCCTTTAAACCGGAGATCCCAGGTTTTATTTCAATATTCCTTTAAATATAACACTCATTTTTAATTTTTCACTGTGTGGGTTTACAGCAGTGAGTGGTTTCATAAAGGCCCCTTTATGGCATCCATGTCCACCGTTATAGACGGACGAACCGTCTGCAAATATCTAATTTAGGATTATGCTGAAGTTCTTCAGTCTACTGACATTTTGTGCTCTGCATGCATTTTAAGGCCTTTACAAATCTGACAAAACAAAGGGAAAATGTGCAAAACTCTGCAGGATGGATGAAATGGGACAAGCTTTCTGAACCCATGAAAATAAATTTGACGATGTGCACAACTAAACGTGATGAACACCTCAAAGGTTGTAGTAATGAATATACCTGTGTGCACCTGTGCTCACTTCTACCCTGAGTAAGTGCTTTGTTGTTATCAGGTGCTTTTTATGGTATTCAGCCACACAATAAAAATAAGTTAAATAAAAGCTCTTTTCATGATTTCACAACACATATTTGCAGCTGGGTATTCCAAGTAAACAGTACTGACGGACATGTGAGTCATGACAGTGAACCAGAGTGTACAATATCAAATCAAAACTGAGACTGTTTCTTCTGTCATTATATTTTATTTAGAGCTGTAATTGTAGTGGGAAATTGCCTGTTTTGGTGTTTTTGTTAAACTGCTGCCACATCTGTTTAAAATCTTACCTGATCAGTGGGTGTGTAGTCGTTCTGCCTGACGACATCGATCCTGTCTAAGAAGCTGCAGACAGAACAGAAAAACACTTGTTAATATCAACTGCTGCTACGGAAAAATATGAAATTGTGTAACTTTTTTTTTTACAATACCACAAAAGTTTTCTCTCATCTGCTCAATGTTTAACAACAATTACAAATTGTGTGCACAGCAATAGAAAGATGCTGGACTGGAGTCCCGGGGCCACCACAAGGGGGCGTACGTTTGCACTCAGTCAGAGGCGGCCTGAGTCACCAGCAGCTTGCTCTGTCAGACCTGAGGAGCCTTGTCAATGGAGCTGCTGTAGTACAGGAGTACAGTCGGAGGAGTGTGCATCTGTGTGTGAGCATGTGGCTGGATGTAGGTGCATGGGTGGGTGTGCAGACCTACAGTGTTCAGATTTACAGACTGCCCACCCAAAGGCATGGTTATTGTTCTGCTGATCAGACAGAGAGGTGCTGCTTTTCAAGGTGTGCGTGTGGCCCTGGCGTTTTCAGGATGGTGAGTGTTTGTTGCACAGTCAGGATTCAAACAGAGAAACAACCACAGATCCAGCACTGGTCAGGAGGAAACGTTTAAGCTGCATTTTCGTGGCAAACTCCACAAAACAACCTGCTAGTCTGACGTCACAGACACACAAAATGTTTTAAAGGTAGCACAAACATTTCAGTGTTTTATGAAGAATCTAAACCCGCAGAACTTCAGTGATTCCATTTCATACACTGACAATGACTTCTGCAAAACTTGATTAAAAAAACAACAACAGCTAAATCAGAAATTTGATCCTGACGGACAAATCTTATTTTACAAACTTCTGCAGACAGAGTGTTAAAACAACAGCTCACTCACAAATAGAACTGACAAACAATAAGAAGTCAGGATGTTTAAGGAGAAATCAAATGGATATAATCATACTGAAAGAGATTCTTATACTTTAGCGATAAAATGAAAAGATTAAGAAACCCATATTGGTGTGTTGTGTGGAGTTATAGATCAAAACCATAGTTTTACTTACATACAAAAAACCCTGTTCCTGCACCACCTGATAACCTGTTTTTAAACTTCTAATTAATTTTTTTTAAGCAAAATTGCCTTTAAAAACAGAATGCCTGGGTCCAATTTTTACTCAGTTCATCAACTAATCAGACTTGGATTTTTGAAGATTAGCTTTAAGATTACATGAACTAAGATGTTAAATTTAAAACAGAAATGTGTAAACTCCCAAAATCATCCTAACTGTAAAGCAATTAAATCCAAAAGACCCCGAAAACAAATATTTTAAATGTTGCCATTAGTAAATGTGTAGTAGTTAGTTGTTGGGAAATCAACATCTTCTTTGGTTGAAACTAACAAGCTTCAAACAGACAGATTAAGTGACTTCTCAGCCACTTTGATTCTGCTTGTTTGTCTGTTTTGACTGACTGTCTGCTCCGTTCTTACAAAGCAGAAAGGCCGGATGACACTGCTTGTAGCTGCAGACCTGAGAACAGGTATTTAGCTCCCTCTAAGATAACTATGTGGCAGGCAGGGGTGAAATGTGACAGGAAGGCTGAAGGTAACACTGAGAAGAGCAAAGGGGCTGGGACTGAAGAAGCTGGAGAACAAGGCGGGCAACTACACAGACAGTAGGAGTTCAGGAAACTTCTTTTAAAAAAAGTGTGTTTTTGTGCTAAATGCACACTGACAGATATTAAAACACAGCCAATCATTTGGGTACCATCAGCTCTCTGCAAGTGGTTCAGCTGTCCCCGCACCACAGTACCTCTGCTGTGCCAGCACAACCACAGCCCTCGGAGAACTGCTCGGAGCCAAGCCACCTCACATTCAGCCTAATCCCTGTGAGCCTCTAGCTCCATCTTCTCTCTCTGAGCTCTCCCCCCACAAAAAAAAAAACATAAATAGTCTGAACCATGAGACAGAACCCAAAAGCTGCAGCTCTAACACCGGCAGAGTTAACATGGCTGCCGCCCGACATCTGCCGAGGCCAAACTCGTGTTTATCTCCGGCTCTGGTTTGAGGTCTCCACACGCCCAACACAAACACACGGCACAATTTTTAGCAGTTCTGCCTATTAATAGGAGAAGTGCTGATAATAACTGCGAACGTTGTGTAAGTTGAACTAAAGAATAGAGGCTGCCCTGGTAACAGAGAGATCTGCGGTGTTATGTTTAACCTGCCAGGGTTATTCTGGGGCAGCAGACAGGCTGACTAAAACTGTGGAAACCCACACAGGACACTCGTCTGGGGACTGAAAATACACGTGCATTTACAAAAAAAGATAAAGTACAGTTTTAAAACTCACTTTGTCTGATTGGACGGTACAATAGCTGTATTTGGAAATTTCATGGAAAGCAAAATGTGAATGAAGAATTCAACAATTTCTAAAAAAAAAAGCCCCATTCACTAATTTTCGTTATTCAGATTCTTGCTTTATTATTGCTGTTAATTTTAAAAAAGTGCTTTTTGATAAAACTGTCAACGTTAAGTCAAAAATTTATTTAGACTAAGTGGGAAAAAAGGTAAAACCACTTAAGATTTTTTTCACCTTATTTAAAATAAAACAAATGAATGAATGAAACTAAAACTTATTTTAGGTACTTTCTAAATTTCATTTTTAATGCACTGTAGATAAGGCTGTGACTGAATAAATAGACAAAAAATAGACAACTGCCAATAAATTTTCAGCACTATTACAAACAAAAGAATGCTTTAAATGTACTATTTTGTATATTTATGTTGTGTACTGAGGCAAGAGTTGCTTTTGTTTTGGACTTCAACTTTTACTATAATCCAACTGAGAAGCTCCTGAGCTGAAGTGACTGAAGGTCAACACCAATAATATTATTGCTCTGTCTCAACAAAGCTGATAAAAATCCCATAATGCATCCATCTTGTTAAAGTGGCAGTATAACAACAAAAGATTACTCAGATTATGAGTTTATACTCATCTTCAGATCTACATGGGGTTAAGATACTCAGTTACACAACTGTGCCTGACCGGCACAACAGCTAGAAAAACCACGAGTTTCAGTTTATTGTAATTCAGATACATGAAAGCATAATTTAATAAGATGTACTTAGTGTTCATAAGATGTTTTTATTTGTTTTTAGTCTTTTTTTGTAAGATCAAATAAAAACAACATTTAAAAAATATTTCCAATTCATGAATTCTTAATTCGAAACAAACTCAAAACATCTGGAAAACTCTGCCGCTGATCCGCGGCTCGACTGTATGACAAACAGGCCAACACACACACACACACACACACACACACACACGCACACACACACAGGCACACACACACAGGCACACACACACACTGCACCTCTTTCAACATCTGCTCATATCTTCTCAAAACCAGTTTTTGACAAATGTTCAAAACTTTATTTAAAACATTCACAACATTTCTGCCCAAAAATCATGACAATAAGCATTTACATTTAATAAGTTTATAAGTTTAAGCTAAGTTAAGTTTAAGCTAAGATAAGTTTAAGCTAAATAAGTTTAAGCTAATAAGCTTATTAAATGTATACATTTACATTTAATAAGCATTAACATCTGTGCAAATAAAAGAGCTCTCCAAAACTTTTTTGCCGTTTAAAAGAGTAATTAATGTCCAGTTATGTTTTTCTTGTTTGATTATTTTAAAGGCTGTGCAACAAAACTAAAGTAGCAAAACTAAGAACTGAAATGTTTTTGGTCAACCTAAAAGCCGATTTTAAATAGTTACGATGCTAAACAAAAAGATAAAAGCTCACATTTTTTTAAACAAAATTTTACATGAAATGAAAGTCAATTAAAAAAATTGTCACTATCCTAATTAAAATTATATAT